CGTCTCTCTCTCTCTCTCTCTCTCTCTCTCTCTCTCTCTCCCGGTTGAATTCTGTGTCTCCTTCTTCGTTACCCCTCCCCGACGACGAGAGTTCTGCACAACGCTCCGGATGTTCTTCCTCGTTTCTCTCGCTCTCTCTCTCTCTCTCTCTCTTTTGGTCGCCCGTCCGTCCCCTCCCCACCCGAGCGCGAATTTAAGGGTGTTAACCGCGAATACGCCCATTAACACCACCTCCCCGCGGCATCGGGTTGTTCTCGAGGTTGTCGGGGCGGGGAGGGGTGGCGGGATGGGTGAGAGTGGGGAGGGGAAGGAGGGTGATCGACGTTGCTCGAAACTTCGCTGTCGACAACGCAGCCGATTGACACGTTGCTGGATTTTCACGGGCTTTGCCGCGGTTCGGCTGCGATAAAATCGTACGTGCAGCTTTTCAGGAACGGGAGAGTGCGCTCCCCGTGACGAGATGTTTTTGATAGAGAGTATTTGCAAGGTGTCGAGTATTTTTTTCCTGTTCCGGGGAAAATTCCTTTTTCCGGATTCCTCGAATTCTTGATCCGTATTGGAAATTGATCGACCGTCGTTAGCCGTCCTTCGACCGTTTTCTCCGCGAGAGTAAAGATCGAATGTATAAAAAAAAAGAAAATTATATCGTATTCTTCGTTCGAAGTTCGGTCAGTCAAGATGATTCGAAATCATCGAATCGGGCTATCACCATCGGTGATAAAATTAGTACGTACGTCCGAATTACTCGTGAATCAACGATGCCGTCCAACGTCTCCAATTTTAGTCCCTGTCCTATGTTTCGAGCCAGGTCAAGAGGGATTCTCGTGAAGCGACGTGATGCTCCTTCGTACTGCTTAACACACAGGCTAGCCTCGACGGTCGGTTTCCTCCATTAGCCCGGAAACGGCACTTCATCAGTCATAATTCAAGCCGATTGGCCGTGTCAAGAGCCGTCCGAGTTTTCCGCGGAAAGTCGAGTGAGAAATTTTCGCGAGCTGTGCCAAAATTCGCGCTAGCCAGCGTCACGAGCATCACCCCGTGCCCATCCCCTCCCCTCCCCTCTCCCTTTTTCTCCCTCGCTCCCCCTCCCATCCCATCGGTCCCTCGTGCGGATCGTTCGAGTCGACCTGCGCCCTGCGTCGCAAGAGTCGTCAACGGAGGAGAAACCATTGGCCCCGCCCACCGAGTCCCCACTCCGCCCGCGCGATCCCCACCGCTCGCGGTCACGTGACGCGCCTGCCCCACCACCTCAGTCAGTCTCACGCGTCCCTTCGGCACCTTCCTCAGCCACGGCTCGGTTCCGCCCCCCACCTCCGCCGCGTAAAACCACTCTCGGTTTTTCGCCCCGGTCTCCGTGTGGCCCCCTTCGTCCTTCGCGCCGTCGAGTGTTAGCGAGACGCCCAGCCACGTCACAGTGTTGCCAAATCCGCGAGAGCTTTTCCACCGACACACCGTGATTTCCAGAAACACTTGGTGCTGTGTGGAACACACACGCTCGGAAATCGGGAACCGCGAAACAAGATCTCGCATTGGACGGCATTGCGTTCGTTTTTTACTTTCGAAGCAACTTTCGGATTTGCTACCGATGAAGTTTTTTTCGAATATCGGTCCGCTCGGTCGATAAGAAAGAATTTGGATTTTTTTTCTTTTTTTTTCCTCTTTTCTTTCGGATCGTGACATTTTGAGACTTTGAGGGGGGGATTTTTCATCGGAAAATTGGCTTGGACATCCCCTTTTGGAGATAGAACTTTAGGCTTCTTGAGTTTTTCGATCGTTTGGCCAGGAAATGGAGGGGATGATGCTCCGGTGACTCGATTTTCCGCTTCGGGGTTCTTTCTCTTTGTGAAGTAGTCGATCAATAACGGAATTGAATTTTTCCCCCCAAACTGATATTTTAATCGAATATCTTCTTGGAGATCTTTTTGGAACATCCATCCCTTTCCAATCGATCCCTTTCCTCGTCCTCGAGAAATCATTTGCAACAAGTTTGCACAACTCGTCGCGAGCCGATCCGAATCAACGAATATACGAATAAGAACAATTCTAGAATCTTTCGATGTGTATTATGTAAAATAATTTAACGCCCGACTGCACGTAGGTTTCGAAGTGATTTCGAAACCAAAATTCGGCCCCAACCACATTGAAAAATGCGTTCACGCGCATTTGTGAATCGTATAGCCAGTGTAAATAGAGTCCACATACCGCGATCGATTTCGTTGGTTTTCGTGCCTCGACGAGGCGAAAACTGTTACTATTTTCCCATCTTTTTTCTTCCCTCCCCCCTCCCCCCACAAATTTCCAAAATTTTCCCGTAGTGAAGTGTCAATGATCAAAATCGCACGTCGAATACCACCGTTCGAAGTCGAAAAATTTTTTAATCAACGATTATTATTGTTC